ATTGAATTTCATTTTGTTAGATAGTGCCAATGCTCACATTTGTCAAGATCCTTCTGTATCTTAAGCCATTAGATCAAAGGACTTATGTGCCTTCCTTTCAAATGTCCTAGAACAGAAGACAAGTCATTCCCTTGGTTGTCTATGGAGCTTCTCAGCCATCCAGGTCATGGTTGTCCCAAAGGTGCTTTTTCAAGAGGCATCTGGACTTTCTGGTTTTTCTTTGAAGACATTTTGCTTCTCATCCAAGAGGCTCCTTCAGAAATTTCTCCTACTTTCAGTGAGAACAACCATTGCACCAGTTGTTCTCACTGTAAAGAGAAATTTGCTGACAGGGGAGAATAACAGAATAACAGAGTTGAAAGGGATCTGTCAGAAAATTTCTCCTTAGTTTTAAATTGAGAACAATTAATCCATAGAATGGCCTTCAGAAGTTGTGGATGCTCCATCACTGGAGATTTTAAAGAAGAGATTGGACAACCATTTGTCTGAAATTACTATATAATTGTATTAGAAGACCTCCAAGGTTCCTTCCAACTCTGTTATTCTGTTAATTTGGAGGGACTACATAGTCAAATCACCATGATATTGAAAATAGATACTCGCATCTTTAAATATTTGGGGCATAAGATTGGAACCAACAGAAATACAGCCCTGAAAGTTGACTGTTTCACAATGGAGTGAATGTTTGCATTCTTAGAAAAGAAAATATTCTAGATTATTGTCTACTGAATGACTAAACTAACTAGTATCAGCCAAGTTCCTTCCCCATAACACACAGCAACAGAAAACACACACTTAGAATATAATTGGAAAACACATATGGAAAGATTAAGAAAATAAAGCGTCTTACACAAAATCACCAAAAACTTCAGAGGAAGGGCGTTTTAGATAAAAAGTAGGACTTGTGAAACGGTAAGTGTGAGAAATGATGCCAGCCATTATGAAATCTCCAGACTTATAATACTTATGATGAATAGGAAGAGGCTGACTAACATTACATCTAAAGCTAGAGACTTTGGACACTGTCAATGGAAGAAGCACTAATACAAACATCATCAATGACATCATTTTCCATGGAGCTCTTCTGGCTAAAAATGAATCAAGCAGCAGTGATGTGACCCAGCAAGGTCTCTGTCCACTATTATTCAACTTGCTTGGTTGCTTACTATGCGAACTGAAGCCATGACTGTTGAGTGAAAATTGTTCTGCGATCTAACTGATGAAGAATCATACTGTAAAACTCCTACTTTAACTCTGAATGGCAGATAAACATGCTTTGATATTGCTTTGTTTTATTATTTTCCCAAATAGATCTTAAAGGTCCCCAAGGGCTCGGAGAAAGAAATAATATTAACATCATAATTGCAGGAGGGAATGATTATGATTATCATTCAAAGAGACAATTGCTTGAAGGTTTGAAAAGGTGAATAAATTCCCTAGATTTCTACTCAACTTTGGTGCTCATTTGGTACGATGAAAAAGTTAATGACATTTTTAATGGTGTATAGAAATTTATATCTATGTCTATCTTCTCTTCTCTTCTCTTCTCTTCTCTTCTCTTCTCTTCTCTTCTCTTCTCTTCTCNTCTCTCTCTACCCACCTACCTACCCACCTGTCTTATCTATTTATCATCTATCATCAAATTTACATGGCTGACCATCTCAGAGGCTATTCTAGGCAGCATACAGTACCTAATTTTTTTTAAAAAACTATAAATATGCAAAAGAAGTCATTATTAAAGCTATGTGTCATGTATATCAAAGCTTACTAAATGTGATCCTGGGTGTTTCTTGCTGTAGTTATGATTCTTTGTGCTAAATGTTCAGATAGATTTTTTTTTTGTTATTTTAAGAGCTTTGTCTTATGACATTTATTTTTCTATATAGACATTATCCCGCACACTAAAGCAAGCAGAAAAGCAAAGCCCATCAGATCCACAAAAACTTCTCACCTGAAGCATATTTCTGCTGGGTGACTTACCCCCAGAATACCCTGGGGGTAAGTAAATATCTCAAATGGGGATATATTGTAGTGATATATTGTTAGACCTTAACCCAATAGACAAAGATCTCCTAGGTATTTCTACTTTTACTAGTGCAAAGCAATACAATTGCCTTTGTGATAAAGTTGGACATTCAACTTCCACTAATTTATTACTTTATTGGGACAAAAGTGTAGACACTTTTCGGGTGTGTTGAGTTTTACATCAAGCACAGAAAACCAACTATAACTCATAATTTTAGTTATGCATTATAACTAATAACATAATAATGCATGAGACATAATTTTTAAAAAGGTCACAAAATCTCATATGTTCAGCAAGTAAGTCAATGACCCTCATGTTCTTTTGAATTGGTCTATTTTCATTCTAAATTTCAAAGTGATTTATTAGATATTGAAAATAGGGAGAGTCCACATGCTAACTTGCAGTTTTTAATAGAATTCATTTCTTAAATAGTGCCTAAGAAATGAATAAAAATGCTAGAATTAGTCTTGTCCACCATATAATGAGAATGGTTCAAATATTGCTGTGAAATATGGCCATTTGATATAAGTAACTATAATTGCTCATTGGTAATACAGAAGGTTATATAATCTATGGGATGCTTCAGGAAGATTCCTATTTCTTATTCTCTTATTGATTTAGTTATAAGGAAAAAAAATAGCCATAACTCAATTTAATTCATACTACCCAGTTAATTTATTCCCTTTCTCAAATAAAAAGGGGAACATTCAGATTAAGACTAAGCGTGTAAGACACTGAGTTTGTTAATCAGAAAGGTTGGCAGTTTGGCAGTTCGAAACCCTAGTACAGGTCTCCTGTGTGAGAATTCTATTCTTCAGCCTCTGTAGTAAAATATGTTTAGACAAATTACATGGAGCATGCAGAGATTAGGGTGAGGGAAATTATATTAGAATGTGAGTGCATGCTTCTTTCCACTATTGCCATAAGGTTCCCTTAAAAATTCAGAGTTATCTCACACCCAGTAGGATGGATAGCAGGAAATAATTTGCAGATCCATTTTTGAATAGAATAGAATAACAGAGTTGGAAGGGACCTTGGAGGTCTTCTAGTTCAACCCCACCACTTCAGACAAATAGTTATTCAATCTCTTCTTAAAAACATCCAGTGTTGGAGCATTCACANGTTCTAAACAGCACTGGAGATTTGTGGAACCTCTTCTATAGAAGAGGTTAGAACTGGCAGGAACCCATCCCTGCTGTATGGTGTGTAAATGTTTACTTCTGTTTGGTCATGTTCTCAATTGCATACTAAATAAATAAATAATCACCACAAACACTTTTAGCATCGTTTTCATCTACAATTTTGAAGAGTAGTCTTCCAAATGCTTATTCAGAAGCAATATAGTAAAATACTGTTATGGTCCTCATTGTTGTGTTCCTTATTTAGTGGTATTACCACTAAACATTTAACAGCCCTGCTGAATTACCTTGAAGTGATATGCCTGAGATGTGTTTGTGCTGGTTGATTTCTCAGCATCACAATTTATTGTGTTACACAGACACGTGTGTACACACAGAGACAAACTTAAAAAGAAGGCTAGGAGAAATAACAGTGGTCCACCAAGGAAAAAGGAAAACAAAGCTTATTTTCTCCATTGATTTAAGAGTTCTGAAATCAATCAACCAATCTTTCTCTTTTTTCTTTCTTTTATTCCCACCCCACATCCCCCTATTTATCTCTACAGTCTTGATAGAGCAGTAGTTAAAGTGTATTACGTGGAAACAACCTGGAGTTTGATCCTGACTGTCTCAGGGTTGATTCAGCCTCCACCCTTCCAAGGGCAGTAAAATGAGGATCCAGATTGTTAGGGGAAATATGCAATAATGTTTCTAAATTGTCAATCACTCTGAGAGGGCTGTAAATAAGATTAAAATGTGTTGGCATTGCGCTTGTGAATGTTCTCTCTCTGTCTCTCTTTCTCTGTATATCTCTCTCTATCTTTCTTTCTCTTTCTTTCTTTCTTTCTCTCTCTCTCTCTCTCTCTCATAGCACAGTCATTTTAAGACCTGTAGAATACGCCAATTTTAACAGGCTTTGTAAAATAGGTATATAGACAAATGAAGACCATCTGATTATTTGATACTTTGTCATCTTATAAATCTTTATCCAGGATTTCTTACCTTTTTGATCTGCAATTTTTCCTTCTGGGCATGGAAAGCAATCATAGCAACAAAATGGCTTCCCCTCTTTCTTTGCTTTACTAGTCCCCATTTGGCATATATCATTACATAGTGAAAGAGGCTTTGTCTGTGGAAGAATGAAAGGAGAACAAGACACTGGAAAGTATGTTGTTGTTTTTAAGCGATATATACCATAGGGACAAGGTGGTTCAATGACTAAGACGCTGAGCTTGTTGATCAAAAAGGTCAGCAGTT